TCTGTCATTTACGCTGTCAATAATGTCATCCATGTAGCTGTTCTCTTTGATTATTTTAGTGATCTCAGGGTATTCTTTTTGTCCAAATTCAGCCGTCTTTCTTAACGCTACTGTTGCAATTCCGCCAGATGGCTTGTCACCGAATGATACTCGTTGTATTACATACGTGTCTGGAGGCTTTGTTGTATTCATGTTGCGCCACAGAAATCGATGTGTGTGTTGCTCCATCTCTTTTACATGAACGGTGTGGTACATTTTTCTCACGTCTCCGATAAATGCGATTTCGTTTTCTCTGAATCTGATCAACATTCCGATGAGACTGTTCAGCAGGTCGGGTCCCTTTGCCCAGTATTCATTTAGGATATGACCCATGTAGTTTGCGCTGGTATTGAAAACGATACGGACAGGTGTTGTCTTAGAGTCTGGTTTTAAGACTTCATGATGTGATATGTAGTTTAGTGGTCCCTTGTAAGTATCTAACTCTTTCTTGGTGAGTTTCCGTGCTACTTTTCTGTCAAGCATATCTTGAATTTGTTCCTCGTACGTTTCGGCGTGCTTCTTATTCTTTGCAAGTCGTTTTTCAGTGGATATCAATTTGGCCACTGCGACGCGTTTATTGTCGGGAAGTTGTTGAGGATCTTTTATCCATGGATATTCGGCTATCCATCTTTTGTTTTCTTTATCATATTCCAGTTTAYTTTCAATTAACTGAAGCTCCTTTTCTTCCCGTATCGTGTAATTCTTGCCACCGATTGCACATTTTCCACATTTACATCCTCCACAACGGGGATTACACTCGGTGCCGAGATTCTCAGTTTCAAAGAGATTTGTTATAGAGACTGTATTAACATGGTGCACTCTCGCATCTTCAAGTTTGGCGTGTTGATGTGTCTTGTCATTTATCATAGGATGGCTTCCACCGATGCATTTTCCGAATCGGTTCCTTAGTAGCAGTAGGTGTCCGTTGTTATCTTCTCGTTGAGGATGATATGCAGCGTATTGGTATCCGATCAGCACATCTACTTCGCYTATTGGACGATTTATGTCTTCAGCTGAAATATTCTTGAACAGTTGCGCAATGGAACCTGAGTTTATGCTTTCGATATCACTTGAGATTTTATCGATTCCGTAAACATCAAAGTGGACTTCGTTCCCATCTCGATCAATCAGCGGTAAGTGATATTTCTGGGAGTGTAGCTTGTCTGCCTTTCCTCCGACTTTGGTTATTGTTAGTTCGACGTTTTCGCCCTTTAACTTTTCTGCCTTCGCTTTATGGTTCGTTATGAAACACAATGAGGCGGCGCTATCCCACATGACGTTTACCCAGTTTTTCCTCGATTTGATTCTTTGAACCTGGAGAATGCATGCGTTGTCTTTCGCTGTTCTGCAGGCATTCACTGAGCCGGATGCTTCTTTGCCGGTCCCACTTTCRATGGACAGCTTGTCTTCATGCAGTGAAGGGTGGTGTCTATAAGTACAGTTAT